GAGGAAGTAACAGCAGTAACTACTGCTTGGCAACTAACATAGTATCTGTAACCTGCTATCTTAATCAGAAATGCATGCTTGACAGTTCCTGATAAAGAGTTGGACAAATCTCACCTTATAGCTGTTGATTAAGATAATCTTCCTTAGGAGATTTGGGTGACATAGGAGATCCAACAGCAGTTCCAATATACCCAGCTACATTTCCGGAAACATTCTTCAACCACGAAGTGCTTCGTGTTAACCAGCCACCCTCTACTTGTTCTTGCATTTCTTGATTGCTAGCGGAATGGTTCGCGTGTTGGGTGGTGTTGTGTGTGTGCTTGTGTAGCGGATTAAAGATAGGGGGAGGCGAAGGGTTAATGAGAAGGAGCAGAGGTAGAAAATTGAAAGGGTGAATAGAGTAAAGGTTAGGATGGTGATGGATAACAGTGTTGAACGACTGTAATAGAGATGAAGCGGATTTATGTGTTGTTAACAAAGAGGATGAAGTTTGACGAGGATGAAGGGTGATTTGTTACTATGTGCAGAAGGAAGAAATTGAGGGAGGTGTAAGGCTGTGAGCGGAGGTCACCGGTGGGAGTTGGAGCAAAAATTGGGATGAATTGGAGGATGAAGGATAACGACGAAGGTTATCGTATTTGACAGGAGATGGATGGAGTTTGGCGTGGCGGTTGGGGATGATGGTAGCTGACGGTATCACATATTTTGAGATGAGGTTGGGGAATATGTGCGGTGAGGGCGGAATCGATGAGGGACGACAAAATCAGTGATGGTGTTGATGGTTCGGTGATGGTTTAGGGGAGGAAGTTGATGAATGTTGGAGGTGGGTGGCGTTAACAGTGGGTTAAGAGGAAGGTGAATGGCGATTGAGATGTTGCTGAAATTGAAGTTTGGAAGAAATAGTTACTGCTTGGGAATAGAAACAAAGACACATAAATGAAGTTGGGAGAGAAGGGTAGTCAATGAAAAGGGCGCTGGAGAGAGGAAATTATTGGTTTGCTGTTAGTTGTTTTTTGGTGTGTGGTTACAAAGAATGAAATAGGCTTTAAATAGGAAAATGAAAAGGAGAAAAAATGATATCAAATTAATCATGTCCGTTCAAAATAAATTCAGTATGCATCAATCCGCAACTTTTGTCAACAACCAATAGAAATCAAGTATAGTGTAATTAATATTTTTTTATGACAAAAACGCCCTTAAATGATAAAAATGAAATAAAAACTGAAAGTATTAAAATTAACTCAATTTAAAATAATTTTTTGGAATTTTTTCTGAATAAAAAATAAAGACCCAAAATGACCGAAAACGATAAAAAACGGGCGAAAATTTATCCGAAAAAATAAAATGAACACATTAAAATAATCTACATGTCACAAAGATTAAAGAAAAAATATTCAAGAAGTCAAAAATAAAATGATAAAATATCAGGCTAATATGGACATTTACGGTTAAAAACGAGACTTCAAACTATACTGAAAAAATAAAGCGAGCATACCGTCATAATCTACGCGTCATGCAGATTCATAAAATGATCGGTAAGAGGTGAAAACTTGAAATATTTTTCTCGCTATTTTTTCGCACAATATCAAATCGCTTTTAACGGTCTGTCTATAAAACCAAAATATTTTTATTATTGACATATAAACAACTTGGAGCACTGCAAGAAAATAGTAAACAGATAAAAATGAATGAAGTGAAATGTCGGGTATTTTACAACTGAAAGACGATGCAAAATTTGATTTAAACTGACTTTTTCTGGTCAACTTAAATACGGCTAATGATGCAAAATATGATGGATGAAGATATTTACTAATGATTGTGACCAAATAACAAAATGTGAAAGTGCGACTAAAATATATTAGGGGCGAAATTTAGGGTGCAACAGTTGTGCCTTGATGAATCAGTCTTCGAGAATCCACAATCAACCGTACTTCGGGCTTGGGAGACTCAAAACTTTAATTGAGGCGCGACATCTGATGCTCTTGATTCAGACCTGTCTCTGCACATGAAGCAAAAGAAGACATGAACATACACCTTTGTATGGATTAGAAATTAGTGATACATAGGCTAAAAATGTTCAAAACACTTGACAATCTTCGCATAGTCAAAGCTTGAAGGTGAGAGGTTAAAACCAACCGTATTTCGTGACCTTGGATTATGTTTAAAAATGTAAAAATAAATATGGGATCTTAGGTCAAAAATTGGGGTACAACAAGTTAGCTTTGCAAAATTTGTATTATTTTACCTCCTAGGTTATGGTAAATATACAAAAGAATCTATAATCCCTTAGATACTGACGAGTTATTCGCGTCGTCGTACCTAAGTTAAAATAAAACTTTGGTTCAAACCATGGTAGGATGATACATCACTATCTTTGCCTCTTTCTTTATTCAAACACTGGTAGGATGATACACCATCATCATCTTTATCTCTTTCTTTATTCAAACTCTGGTAGGATGATACATCATCATCTTTTCCTATTTCTCGGTGCTCTTGGATATACTATATCAGTGTATCCTTATTTAATAAATATTAGATGCAAATTTTGGGGTCTTCCATTATTTAATAATCCTCCGATTCGAATGTGCGAGACCTGCATATTTTCGCACCATTCAAATACAGAGTAATTAAATAGGGGCAACTGTCATATCCTAAATTTACCCGTCCCGATGCTACGGTCAAAATTATTTTCAAACTTGGCTTTAAAATTCTTTTGGTTTATTTTACTAATATTTCAGGGTTTTATAAATATTCGTTCTCAAAGTCTATTTAAAAATATAATAATTTATTTCAAATAATTTATATATTTTTAAAATATAACAAACATTGTCTACTCTCGATATACTTTTAATTGATTTCTATTTTGAATAAACAAGATAGCACAATTGGTAAAAAATGAAGCTTATAAGTATGAGGTCATGAGTTTGAATCTAACTTGGCTCACTTTGGATATTCTTTGTTTATTTATTAAAAACTATTTATATTTTTAACTATAAAAAAGTCATTTTTTATTAATTAAATATTATTTTCGTTTTTATAATTAAGTCATTTTAAAAAATAATTATTTATTTGATTTTATGCACTTTTTACCAAAATTAAGTGCAATAATTATAATAAATATAAAAAATATTATCTTTTCTAATTAATTGTTTCTTACCGGTCAAATGGTGTCATTTTATGTCATACTCATCTCTAATTGGTTAGCTTACTAACCAAGAAAATTTTGATTGACCAATCAATTTTATTTCCTAATTTGTTGACCTAATTATCACTATAAATAGGTCACTATAATGCAGTGAGAGAACTGGCTTGGGGGTATTGCGCAATTGTTGTGTATAGCAAGAGTCACCACCGGCTTTTCTTTTATCCAATAAGGGAAGGTTGAAAAGAACAGGAAAGACCTTTCGAGATTATTTCTTGAGTTCGGGGGATAGGTTATGAAAAGGGAATGTGTTACCCTTTTCATCCGTAGTTATCTATGGGCTCTTAGTTGCTTGCTAGATCACTTGCTTTTGTTTGAAAATGTGCTTGTGGTGTGGGTTTTGAAAGTATTTTGAAAACGTCTTTGTAATGGTTCTCGTCTCTATAAGAACGCGTACATAGTGTTGTTTGAAAAAATAGTTCAAAGAAGTGTTTGTGGAATGTGTTTTTGAAAGAGAATTTGAAAAGGTTTCTTTGTAATAGCTCTCGTTTCTATAAGAACGCGTACAAAGTTTTTGTCTTTTGAAAATGTTTCAAAGTGAGAGTGTTGGTATATAAAATATTTTTGTTATGAGCAAGTGAGCAACTAGGAGCAACCTACCTACTCAAAAGGTCTTAAATGTTCTTTTCCTCCTCCTTTAGATGTTTCTATCTTACCATTGATTTGGTAAGAAGCCCCATCGTTGGATATGAAGGGACATGTGCGGGTCAATCGTACAGTCATAGAAGGCAACTTGTGAGACGCTTTAGCAATTTTTTCGTAAGGGACTAGATCGTTTTACCGAAGGCAACATCGAGAGACTACAATCTTTTTTATCGAAGGTTTTTTGCTAAAGCGTCCCATATTCGAGGGACAAGACTGTTTTTCCGAGGCAACAAGTGGAATTACCCTAGGGGTACACGTGTGAAAAGTGTGTTCGATTCAAGTTAATTGTCTTTGATTAGGTTATCTAGCGGTTAATTTTATATCTTATCATACACGCATAATTACTATACAGTATAAAGAAAACAGTAAATTGCGGAAATTAAAATTCTACGCTATTACAGAGCTTTCAGGAATAGGGATACAAATTTACAAATGTGGAAGGATCAATGCGACTAAAAGTCAAAATAGGCAGTCAATACAACCAAATCGAATCGACCAATTAATTAAAACTATAACAATCTATAAAATTAATTAACAAAGTAAAAATAAGGAAATACAATTCTTGGTATTTTTTGTTTGTGAGAAATTTTGAAGAAAAAATAAAAACCTATTCTAGAGGAGAAAATAATTGATTACAAAGAAATTAAATCAAATGTATATATATCTTTTGGTATTATTATTTTTTACTATTTTGAAGAATTTGAACAAAACAATTTAAGACTAAATGAAAAGTTAATTAGTAAAATTATTTACAAAATCCCTAACTAAACTAATTAACAAAAATAATTCATTTTAAAAATTAATATTTTTACTTAATTGAGTTTTAAAACTAGAACCTAAACTAATTTTGTTATCAAATATCTAAAAGAATCAAGAAAACAGAATAAAAAAGGCCCCAATAGGGGTTGAACTTGAGTCCCCTTAGTGGTTAGTGGTATGCTCTCTCAATTGAATTGTATTGTTTATCTGTTATTTTATGATTTAATTGAATTATAAGGTGAAAATTGATAACGGGATTGGGCCAAAAGGCCCAATAGGCCGACCCGGTTGGAGAAAGAAACAAGGGGGATGTTTTAACCCTATGACTAAGTAGATGGCACCGCAGTAGTTGTCATAGGGAAAGGAAAATTGATTAAATTAAGATTATTATTGTATGGGGAAGGTAAAAAACAAATTATATTATTTTTCAATAAAAACTCTTTTTACCGTAAAAAAAAAACAAAAGGAATTCTCTTCTGTCATAAACCTCCATCTCTTTTCCTGTTCTCTATGCTTTACTGTGAAAGAAAAAAAATCCTTCTCCAATCTATTCACAAATTTCTACCTTCAAAAGCTCTGCCTTCTTCTTCGCGGGTATGTGGTTTGCAAAATCAAGGATTTGGAAGGTGGATACGGTGGAGGTTATTGTTGCGCGAAGGTGAACGATGAAGGGGAACAAAGGCGGTGGCTCGGTGATGGTGGATGAAATAACGAGATGGCGATGAAAGAATTAGAGAGGTGCAACCTTTGGCATTTATGTGTACCGATAACGGTTGAAGTTGATGGAAGGAGGTGGATAAAAACAGAATAACAATTTTTTCTTTGCAGATCTACGTAACTGCTCTTTTTATTTTAATGGATCTCTCTCTCAATCTTACGGTGAGTCACAGTGGTTACAAAAGGTTTTGATTTCTATCACCTTTTTTGTTATTATTCTTTTTACATCTTTCTCTTTCGATGGAATTTTTTTTTTCACACTGTTGTTATTTGACCGCACCGCTTTCATTACAAAAGGAAAAGCGTAACTGTTATCAAATAGAGGTAACAACATAATGCAACAACAATAAACTATAGCAACACACAACGGTAACAATAATGAAGTTGGGAGAAAAGGGAGCACTTACGAGGTTGGAGTTAACCCGACAGTTCTCTGGTGTCGATGTTGATGAAGCAACAAAGAAATCCAGAGGTGAGATAATGATACTCCTGTCTTCTTTTCCTTGATTCTGAAAAAATATGGTGATATAAAATAATTGTTTGGAAGTTGTTGGGACTTGCTGGTTTATAAACAGAAAGAGTAATCACAAAAAAAAGGTTGTTTTCTTTATTACAGAAACATAGAAAGATGAAAGGTTTATAGGATCATGGAGAGGTAAAGAGAAAAGGTTGTAGTGTATGAAGTTGAAAGTTGCGGTTTGTATGTACGTATAAGTCTATCTCTCCCCCCTGCTTCTGTATTGTGTTAATGGTTCATATAGATGAAAAAATTGGTTTTTTGGGGGAAAAGAAATGAATTTTGAACTGTTTTTATTCACTATTTTATTGCTTTTTGTATTGCAGCTTGTTTTTTGCTATTTTAATGTATGTTTTGCATGTATATTTTGGACAAATTTTGGGTTGTTATTATGCAGACTTTGGACAGTATGTGTAGCTGGTTTTGTAGGGCAGCAATAGGTTATTTTGTAGCAAGGTTTGGACAACAAGAGGGCTTATTTTTGGACTACAATATGCAGGGTAGCATTAGAACAAAAAGACAATAGCTTGGGATGAAGCAAATTTTGAATCTTAGTAGCTTTAGGATTTAGGATTTGATTATTTGATAATTATGTACACTTGTGTAATTTTTGTGATTGTTAATTTGAAACTTGGAAGAATGAAAAGAAAATGAATTGGATTTGTATTTTTGTACACTTGAATAATACAATTATTCAAAGCTTCAGAATTGAAATCCATATAACTTTTCTTCTTGAAGCTTGAAGGAAAATGAATGAAATTGAATAGTAGTGGACCTTAGAATGATGAATGGATAATTATACATGCCTTTAATACTCTTGAATTTCCTTGAATTAGCATTGATAAACTTGTATCTTGAAGTTTGAATCCAATTCTTGAATGGAATATGAACTTGATATCTTGAATGATGATGAATGCCTCAAGTGAAATTCAATGAATAAATAAACTATGCCTCTTTCGAAAGGATAAAAACTTTGAAAGAGTTTTTAAAATATAAAAACCTTTGAATTTAACCTTTGAATTTTTGAAGGATAAAAACTCCAAGAGTTATTGATAGATTCCTCTTTCGAAATGGACTGAATTTAATCACACCATGAAATTCACCTTTCTTCTCAAAGAGTTTTCAAATATGAAAATTTGCAAACCCACTTGAATACATAAAAGTCATGCCTTGCACCGATCGTTCACAAATCAACTCATCTTGCATCATAAGTTGAGCCAAACCTAAAAGGCCTTGAATGATCAATACAAGTGGGCTTCAAGATAAAATTTGTTATGTCGAGAACTCGGCACCTTAAAATTTAGAGAAGAATTAATAGGTCATTTTTCTTGAAGAGGACCTGTTTATGACATCCCTTATGACAATGTGCAAAAATAATCGTCTCGATATCTTGAAAATTGAGGACATTACGACTCTTGGAAGTCAGGAAACAATTATCTGGAATTAAGTTAAAACTAGAAAGTGACCTCTAAAGTATTTGAATTTCCGATGATCTTTCGCATGTAATCAGCTCTTGACTTGTCAAGGAGAGTCATACGTAAAAAGAAACACTCAAAAATATCGAAACAATGAAGAAGTTACAATCGTTTGAACTTGATCTTGAAAAGGTCGACTTTTAGGTCAATGTAGTTCATTTTCAATCTTCTGCACCATTGACTGAGCAAACTTGCAATGCGAGGCTTGAAACTTGGCACAAGCATCCTTGAGAATATATGAATAACCATGGAGACCATTTGAAACTTTGAAAACTCATTTTTTCTTGAAAAATACTAAACCCTAATTGTTGACTCACTGCTTAGGAAGAGAGTCTGTCTGATCAACTTCTGAGCCAAATTGAGTATTCGAGAAATCCTAGGATAGTATCATGAATGAAAAATGGGAGGGAAAGTTTTGGGGTACGACAGTTGCCCCTGTTCAATCTTATTAAACTTGAAAAGGTGATATTGGCATGTTTATCGTTCGTAGCTTGAAAGTGGAAGATGATTGAACACTAGAGTGCCCAGAAATTTGCACTCGATGATGTGTTGGTTGATTGTGTAGGGAATGGACTTAAAGATGCCATTTGGAGAAATGATGGAGAGTTTTCAGAGATGGGCTTATAGATTCCATACAAAGCTGATTGTTGACAGAAATTAGACTAAGTCTAAACTTGACCTCAACTGTAAAATAATAAGAATAAACCTTTGGTTGATTTAAACTGAAACAGCAGAAGTCCTGAATAATCTTTAACTGGAAAGAATTAGGATGAATCCTTGAGAGATTTAAACTGAACCTGCAGAAGTCTGGTAAAGAATCAGAATAAATCTTTGGAGTGATTTGTCTGAACCATGGAAAATGTCTACTGGGGAAGAATCAGGATAAACCATTGAGATATTTAAACTGAACCGACATAAGTCTTGAATATTCTTTAACTGGAAAGAAATCAGGATAAATCTTTGGAGCGATTCATCTGAACTAGAGAAAGTGTCTACTGGGAAAGAATCAGAATAAACCATTGATCAATTTAAACTGAACCAGCAGTGGTCTTGAATCATATTTAACTAGGAAGAATCAGAACAAATCTTTGAATGATTTATCTGAACTATAGAACATGTCTATGGGAAAGAATCAGGATAAACCATTGAGAGATTTAAACTGAACCACCATAGGTCTTGAATATTCTTTAACTGGAAAGAATCAGAACAAATCTTGGAGCGATTTATCTAAACCAGAGAAAATGTCTATGGGAAAGAATCAGGATAAACCATTGAGAGATTTAAACTGAACCAACAGAGGTCTTTAATATTCTTTAACTGGAAAGAATCAGAACAAATCTTGGAGCGATTTATCTGAATCAGAGAAAATGTATACGGGAAAGAATCAGGATAAACCATTGAGAGATTTAAACTGAACCAACGTAGGTCTTGAATATTCTTTAACTGGAAATAATCAGAACAAATCTTGGAGCGATTTATCTGAACCAGAGAAAATGTCTACGGGAAAGAATCAGGGTAAACCATTGAGAGATTTAAACTGAACCAGTAGAGGTCTTTAATATTCTTTAACTGGAAAGAATCAGAACAAATCTTGGGGCGATTTATCTAAACCAGAGAAAATGTCTACGGGAAAGAATTAGGATAAACCATTGAGAGATTTAAACTGAAGCAACAGAGGTCTTGAATATTCTTTAACTGTAAATAATCAGAACAAATCTTGGAGTGATTTATCTGAACCAGAGAAAATATCTTAGGGAAAGAATCAGTATAAACCATTGGAGATATTTAAACTGAACCAATAGAGGTCTTGAATATTCTTTAACTGGAAAGAATCAGAACAAATCTTGGAGCGATTTATCTGAACCATAGAAAATGTCTACAGGAAAGAATCAGGATAAACCATTGAGAGATTTAAACTGAACTAACAGAGGTCTTGAATATTCTTTAATTGGAAAGAATCAGAACAAATCTTGGAGCGATTTATCTGCACCAGAGAAAATGTCTACGAGAAAGAATCAGGATAAACCATTGATAGATTTAAATTGAACAAGCAGAGGCCTGAAGGAAGTATTCATCATGTAGATAGTCACCCGTCCTGTTTCGAGAATTGATCTACAACTGATTTGTTCATAGATAGTTGTTTTGTCTTGTCGAAAATTTGTTGATGATAATTCTCTGTTGATTGATCTTTCCTGAAAAGATAAAGAGTTAGTTGTATGCAATGTCATGATGTATGAAATGCATGGCGTAATGATGTTCTCAAAATAAATGAGATTATGCCGTACGCATTTGTGTTGTATGCATTTATCATGTATATAAATATGATGCATGAAATGTTGTTGGAATGTATTTTTGTCTTTGGAAAATAAATCCTTGACAAATGCTGGGAAGCTTTGGGAAGCCAAATTTTTGGGCGGCCGTTGGGGATGAAGAGTATGCACACCTTTCCAGACCTTGTTTTTTTTAGAATGTTTCCGCTATAGATTTTTGTTTTTTTTGTTTGAGGAGAACTCCGTTGGGGAATGTGGATTTTGCTTGAGAAGAAAATTCTTTGGAGAGTGTTGATTTCCGCTTGGGGAAAAGAGTTCAAGAGTCTTCGTTATCCATTGCTCTACTGGGTAGCTATCGAGGATTGTAGAGCAGTCTACTAGGGAAGGGGAGTTGTGGTCCCTTGATTTGTGACAGTCTGGGAAGCAAATTCAAGCTTGGGAATCTTACCGTTTGTTGGGGAAATAAACCCTGTCGCCAATCTGCAAGAGGGGCGCTTTTGACAGAAACTCCATAAGGTTTTTAACTCAGTTAAGACCAGTTCAGCTGGGGAGTGTCAGAATAATTCTAAGCCTTGATGGTATCTGAGGAGATATTGAACGAGTATCAGAATGATATCCATATCTGGATTGTATCTGAACTGTATCTAAGGAGAGTCTGGAATAAATGTCAGATTAAATCTGTATTTAGATTGTATCTGCATTGTATCTAGAAGAGGCTTTTGAATAA